TTCTCTGGAAATTAACTAAAGCCTGATTTTGATTTTCCAGCTGTTGACTTCTTCAACCAGGTGAATCTGCTCTATGGAACCCTCACAGAGTTCTGCACGCCAGAGATCTGTCCAACAATGTCTGCTGGCCCCAAGTATGTTGAGTAACTATTACTTAATTTTACTTTCACTAAGTAGCCATTAGATAGGTTCGTTATCATGCTAGAAGGGTAAAAGAGAGAGAGATGTGTTGGTTCAAGTGATCATGCATAGTCAGCTCAACTCAAATCCAAAATGATTAGTTAGTAAATGAAATTCAGGATATGTATTAAGATATACTGGATTTACCATCTTGCCAATTGATAGGGGAAATTTGAAATTATATTTTTTATTTAGAAAGATGAAAGTTAACTATAAAGTCAGTACAGCTTTCTTGCCAAGCCCTTAAGCAGGTGTAAATATACACTGCTTTCTTGTGGATTTTTTTGTGGCTTTTATTTTATCATTTTTCCCTACCACAAAACCACCTTAGGGGAAGGTAAAGAAACGGAAAAATAAACCCCAAAGGTAGAGAACAAGCTGATATTTTGACTAGTATGTTTAGCACTAGGGAAGAAGCTTGCCTTGTGCACCTCTGGCTTTAACTAGTTCTAAGGTTTTGCATAATGATCACTGTTTCTTTGGATATTAACCTCATGAAGTTGAATTTAATCAATGGATTGTATATTCATCAAACTTGTGTTTCTTAGCAGCATTCATAGATTAGAAAAGTAAACTTCCTGTTTCGATTTGTCCTTAAAATATGCGCACAAAAGTTTTGCTTATATTTCGGCTTTCATATCTGTAAAAGCTTTCATGCCAGCAACTGTTAGCTGCTGGCAACATTACCTTCTCATTCATGCTGGACTTTGCAAGTTGCTATAAGTTTCTTTGGAACAACAAAAAGGGTATAATATAAGCCCCGCTATGGCTGTGTTAAAAGTAAGTCAAACGTAGCATCTGTTTTGGTTTCCCTTTTAGTTGCGAAAAAGTTACTTTTCAAAGAAAAACATTTATTCTAAGTTCTAAGTACACATTTCGAAGGATCCACAACTTTATGCACTTATTCATTCATTTCTACCCACTTATAATTTTAGCAATTAAAAAGGAAACCCAAACAAAGGCTTATTTTGCCAAACATGATATTCTCTAAGAGCATTTTTGGGTAGTATTTATAAACTATTTTAAATAATAAATTTATAGAAAAGAGTGGTGGATAAGTGTGTAGTATTTGTAGGTCCCTCAAAATATATGGATAAAAAGTGGCTTGAGTGTTTATAAATAGTTTTAAAAATGAGCCTGACATATGCTAAGTTACTTTTTGTACTAACAAAACTTACTTTTCTAATAACTAAGTTGACATTTAAGCACATCCAAACATTTTATTAATCTCTGCCTGGGATATTGATTTTTGTCAAAAAAGCTGGGTCAAACTATGAACCATCCCGTTAATATTGTACCAGTAAGCTTTCTTTACCTTTAGGAGTAACCCACTTCCAACTTTTCAGAGTATAGTCTATTAATTGCAGTAGTTCTGTTTATTTTTAAATCAAAATTTAATTTACAAAGAAATGTTCCTGAACTTCTTGGCATTTTTTTACAGGTACGAGTACAGATGGGCAGATGGTGTACAAATCAAGAAACCTATCGAGGTTTCAGCTCCTAAATATGTCGAGTATTTGATGGACTGGATCGAAACCCAGTTGGATGATGAATCCATATTTCCTCAAAAGCTTGGTAATAACCTAAATACTACTTAATGTGTTCCATTGCATGTTTTATGGTGTAGAAGATAGTTGTCTGATTTATATTTTAGTTAACCATATTAACGAATTAATATTTATAGGCACGCCTTTTCCCTCCAACTTCAGGGATGTTGTGAAGACCATATTCAAACGCCTGTTCCGTGTATATGCACATATATACCATTCTCATTTTCAGAAGATTGTGAGTCTTAAAGAGGAGGCTCATCTAAATACCTGCTTCAAGCATTTTATACTGTTTACCTGTGTAAGTTCTTCGATTTTTGTGAGCTAAATTGTTTTACGTATTCTGTTCACTCTGCTCCTTTCTCAGACTTTGAATACTGTTAAAATTACAATGACCACTTTTAAGGTTATCATAGTCCATATTCTGTTATTTTATCTTGATTTTGTTAGGTGATATTATTGTCTTTATAATTTCTTTCTTTCCGCTTAACATAAGAGGAGGGTAAATGACATAATAAGCTAAGAATGATTATTTGTAGAACTGTAACTCGCTATAGACTGGTCATACCATTTCAGTTCCATGGCAAGGGAGTTGGTCGAACCCTCATTCTTTTACTATTGTTACGAACGTCAAATATTCTTCGAATGTTTTGATGCTAAACTAGATTTCAATTTTATAATAACATAAATATATGTTTTCTGATGCAGGAGTTCGGGCTGATTGACAAGAAGGAGCTGGCTCCACTTCAAGAGCTCATAGAATCCATTATTCCTTATTGAGCGTGCCTTGTATTTGTCTGTCTGAACTGACATTATGTAGGAACAAAATGAAATGATGTGATCCTATAATCGTGTGCATACTGTTCCTGGGATAGTCTTATTTGAATACTTTCAAGCCCTTGTTTGATCCCCATTTTGGAGGAAAAAATGAATTTTTCACTAGTGTATTGATGGGGAATGTGTGGTTAAAAAATAAGGAAATTTTTTGAATTTACGTGTAACATTATTTTATTGAAGAATGTGATTGAAATGACGTCAAAATGTTGTGGAATAATGCATTTTTTTTTAAAAATAAATAATGGGGTTCAAAGCTCCAAGTAATATATTTTAGCAAATAACTAAACTAAGACCTTTACAGTAGAAGTTTTGTTAGAACTCAGCCACGTGTTCTTACGGATGCCCATATTTTTCATACTTGATATTGACCATGAATGATTACTGTCATTAAATCATCAATTAAAACTAATTTAAAGAGTATTCAACATAATTATATAAATTATTAATGCACTTGTCACAATGTAATGAGTTTAATAAATTAACATGAAGAGAGAGGGGGATCTTAAAATATTTGAAATTAAACAAAATAAAAATAATTTGTCAATTTAATAATTTTATTATTGAAATTTTTGTCGCTATAAGTTACATTCGTACCGACCATTTTGAATAATCAATTATTTGAAAGTAGAGGCATAAAGGAGTGAGAATAATTTTCAATAAGTGTGCGTGGATAATGAATTCATATATGTATTTCAAGGAAAAATTCATAAATTGTATACTGAGACGCGAAAATTGGATCGAACTTATATGATATTAAATTCTCGTGCGTAACGCAACTAAATCCCAATACATTATGGGGTTAAGTATTCACTTGTGATTTTGTAAGTGTATGACTATATTTAATATAAAAAATATAAGAGAAATAGTAAAGATAGAGTTAGAGAAAAAGAGTGTAAATAGTTGGTGATGAATAGTCTAGTATTGGGTTTGTATCCTATTTATAGTGTAAATTCTAGGACCATGTGCAAAAAAATAAAATGAAATGGCTAGATATTAGGCATAGTCAATACATAAATGGTGGATTGTCATGAACAAGATCAAATTAATATCTTTAATCATGTGGTCAAATCAATTGGCTTGGTTTAAAACTTGGTATAAGTAATGCACGTGGTCAAATCAATTACCTTTATTTACATGGTCAAATCAATTACATTGGATTGAAATATAATATGAATAATGCACGTGGTCAATAAATCATCTTTATTCAAGACCAATTACCATATTTACGTATATTTTACACATGATTTCATCCAATTTTCAAAATAACTCTCAACTTAGATCCTCAAACTATTGGCCAACAACCAATAAGATCATTAGATTCCAATAATAGCGCACTTAAGTCCTAAATTTAAATTTATCAAGTAGTAATAATTCGAGAGGTTACAACCTACCCCTTTAAAATAAATTTCGTCCTCGAAATTTACCTTGAAATTCCTTAAAGATTTGTGGGGTACTTGGCTTGAATTTTCACTCTCGCCCCCATGTAGCTTCTTCAACTGAGTGATTATGTCATCACGCTTTTACTAAATATACCACTTTATTTCTGAGCGCTTGTAATTTCTGATTGATGATTTCAACTGGTACTTCTTCATCACTCATACTGCGTTGTATTCAATTGATTGATGGTTCACTACATGGCTCGGATCAGGGATGTACTTCTTGAGCATAGACACGTGACATACGTCACGTACTGCTAAGAGTTTAGGGAGGTAAGGCAAACTAATATGGTCAACTTCCAACGAACCTCAAGACTTTGGGTGGTCAATGAATCTTGATCGCAATTTTCTACTCTTACTGAAACATAATTCTCCCTTCATAGGTGCTACTTTGAGGAATACTTTGTCAACTTCAAGAAATTTCAAGTCATTTTTCCTCTCATCTCATAGCTTCTTTTGTGTGTCTTGAGACGTTTTAATAATGTTACAGATATTCTTGATAGCCTACACAATCTGTTCAATAATCTCTAGACCTAAAATTTCACATTGGCAAACTTTGTCTCAATGAACTAGCGATTTGCATTTTCTCCCATACAATGTTTCTTAGGGTGCCATGTCGATAGATGTATGATAACTGTTATTATAAGTAAACTCAATTATAGGTAGATGCTTTTCCCAATGTCCACAAAACTCTAAAATACACAATCGAAGCATATCCTGTAATGATTGAATCGTCCGCTCAGTTTGATCATCTGTTTGACGGTGGAAAGTTGTACTAAAGTTCAATTTAGTTCCCATAGCCCGATGTAAACTCTTCCAAAGGTTCGACGTGGACCTTATGTCTCTATCCTACACAATTGAAACTGGTATATTGTGCAACTCCACCACTTTCTTAACATACAACTGTGCAAATTAGTCCATAGAAAAGGTTATGCGGACTGGTAAGAAATGAGTAGACTTTGTTAATCGGTCAATGAAAATAGGCTCATTACCTTTTCTTGATTTTGGTAAACCTACAACAAAGTCCATCATCACATCTTCTCATTTCCATTTTGGGACATCCAATAGCTGCAGCAACCCTAATGGTCGTTGGTGTTTCACTTTCACTTGCTGACATATCAAACACCTTTCAACGTACTCGGCTATATCCTTCTTCATTAATCTCTACCAAAATACCATTTTTAGGTCTAGGTATATCTTTGTACCTCCTGAATCACTGAATATGGAGTAGAGTGAGCATTCTCTAATATTTTCTTCTTCAATTCTTCAAAGCTTGACACATATAATCGTCCTTGATGATGCAATACTTTATTATCAGATGTGTAAAATCTTTCAATTTTCCCATTTCTATCTCAGTGTTAATAAATTCTAGGGACTGGTTACCTTTCTGATGACTTTTAATCCTGTTACAGAGTGTTGATTGGATCGATAATACTTTTATCCGACTATGGTACCAGGTTTAGTTGTGATAATCTTGAGACTTAATCTCTTGAACTCCTTTCATAAAGGCTTTTGTATTAATGTCGCATTTGCTCCTGTATAGGTAGTGTCTCTAAATCTTTAGTGTATGAACGATTGCAGCGAGCTCTAAGTCATACGTTGGGTAATTATGCTTATATATTTCTTGTTCTCTTGATGCGTAGGTGATCACCTTGCCTTGTGGCATCAAAATGCATCCCAAGCCATTCTTAGATACATAACTATAGATTACAAAACCTTATGCCGATTCTGGATTAGTCAACACCGGTATGTTAACCAATCTTTTCTTCAATTCCTCATATCTACCTTCACAATTTTTGGTCCAGTCAAATCTTGTACCCTTACGAGTTAAATATATTAGTGGTCCAAATGCCTTTAAGAACTTCGATGAACCTTCTATAATATCTGACTAAATCCAGAAAATTACGAAATTTCCCTACATAAGTTGGCCTTGACCAATACAAAACTACCTCCACTTTGTTTGGATCTACCTCAATTCCTTTAGTTGTAATGACATGCTCAAGTAATACTACTCAGTCTAACCAAAATTCATGTTTGTTAAATTTTGCATATAATTTCTCCTCAAGATTTCCAACACAATCTTCAAGTGTTCGTCACACTCTCCTTCTTTCCTTGAATAGATTAGGGTTTCATTAATAAATACGATGACAGATCGATCACGGAAATCATGGAAGACACGGCTCTTCAACTCCATAAATACTCTAGGGACATTTATCAACCCTGTTCGCTAAAATTATACATCGCAAGTGCACTGGGTCGCATTCAATTAATAAAGTGAACCTTTTGAGTGTGAGTTGTCGATTCCTCGAGGAATATATATTTTAGATTACACAACTTTGATTAATTTAATTCTAACAATAAAAATAAAAACACAATAAAATTATGATTTTGGAATATAACTAAAAATCTATAAAATAAGAAAATATAAAAATCTTGGGAATTTCGGAGGAAAACGTGGTTGAGATTTATGGTTTCGTTTAACCGTCGACTAATCAATTTCTCCACAATCCATATAACAAGTTACTCATTTACGATGTTAGACTCGATTTTTCAATTTTAGCCAATTACCTCTCTCGAGCGAAATTAACTCTAATTGATTGGTTTAACCTACTATATCTCTATGTCGATTAAAACCAAACAACTATATTAAACATTTGTGAAAATAACTTAAAGGATCACCTAGGGTTAGGGATATATCTTTATCATCTAAACAAACCTAGGGCTTTTACTATTTGGTCTAAAGTGCACAATCTTTTCTCGAACGATATACAATTCACTAAAAATAATCATTCATTGGCCACGTAAATGAAAATGCAACAATAACAATAGTAAAAACACATGAAAGTAAATAACTTGACATTAAAGAGCAAATATTGAAATTAATTAAATTTCGATTAAGTTACTACCATAAATCCTAACACAATAAGTTAGCCTGTTTTATATAAAGGATAAAAATGAGAGTATTTTACAAAATACATTGCAAACATGACAAAATAATTAAGAACATACAAAGTTATAGATACAACCCAATTTGAAGCTTGATTTTGATTTTTTCAAATATTTCTGCACCTCCTAGAATGATTCTCCTTCGTGCTCTATGATTTGCTCCCAAAAATACCAAGGAAAAGAAAATAAAGAAAACAAAGTAGAGGAAAGAAAAAGAAAAGAAAAGGAAAAAAAAAATGAAAAGGAAAGTAAAAAGAAAGAGAAGGAGGCTAGGGTTTTCTTTCCAAGATGAAGAATAATGAGAAGAAAATAGTTGAATTTGCCTTTTAAAAGCCCCAAAAATCATGTCCTATAATTGGAAGATGGTCCAAAATTGATACAAAACAATCAAACAGGTCCTTTATAGTAGTCGGGATGCTGCGACGCCTTGAAGTAGCTCTGCAGTGCCATGGCTCTATAATTAGGCAGCTTTGTGGAGCTACGGCGCCGCTACAATGGTTTTCATTATTTGCAGCTCAAGTCCTCCCCGTATTTGCACACTAGGTTCCTCAACTTTGAACTTGTACAAATTTGGTCCTCAAATTTTGACTTTTCTTTCAATGACGCCCTCAAAATTACAATACCAAGTCCTTAAACTTTTGACACTCATACATTTTGGTCCCCAACTTAATTTTGTAAGCTTTTGGTCCCATTTTTCCTCCATTTGCATTGTTCTTTTCCCTAAATGATT